CACAGAATACAGCCGTGACGCTGTGCATTCTGGTAGATATTTTTATCTAGAATTTATCCCCTGATGATGGAGGCAGGAAGATCCTCCGAAATGTTGATAAATATTTACCATACTACATCTCCTGTCTAAATTAGTTGAAGTTGTCCCTGTACTTAACTAATTAAGCATAATGTTATGAAGGCGTATAGGGGAGTAGATGTATAGATCCATATTTTTTTCACTAGTTCGGGGTGAGTGGTCAGCTTCACGCCCCCGTAGCTTTACCCTCGGAGAAAGAGCCCCTGGTAACCATTGTATACGAGGTTGTGTGGACCCCAGAGCCAGTCTGGACGACTTGGAGGAGAGAAAATTCTTTACCTTACCGGAACTCGAACTCGGACGGTCGTCCCGCCCGCAGCCAGTCGCTATACCGACTGAGCTATTAAAGACTATAATAGGTATATAACACTGTATTTCTCTCAGTGCTGTTTATCTATTTGAAACAGGGGGTGTCACCCTGAGGGAAGATATACTGAAATTCGGGGTGTCTGAGGAAGAATATTAAGGGCGGGGGGGCGGAGGCTCGAGAGAACTGCATGACCTAGAAAACAGCAATTTTTTACTTATCACCAATGTGTTACTAGGAGTGGTACAAGAATGAGCCTATGGTTGGCGTAATATGTGATATGCAAGTTGAAAATGAGAAGTGGACACAAAACTTTAGTAGGAAACCCTGAAATGTGGAGACTAGAGCAGACCTAATAGGCTGAATGGCAGCATTAAAATTTTTCGTCAAGAAATAGGCCGAGATAATTTAAAGTGGATTAAACTGGCTTAGGATGATGTCAAGGAAACTTTTTAACACGAAAATGACAAATTTCTTGGTTGTATAATAGGCTGTCAATTTTTAAAATGAATCTCTGCATCATGGCGTTTATTTACTTACTTACTCCTGCAGCACAGCCCTTCTGGAGGAGCGGCCAATTCTGCAGCTACTCAAGAATTTCCCAGCATTTTATGGAACCCGAAGGTTCATTACCGTGTTCACAAGAGCCCTCCACTGGTCCCTATCCTGAGCCAGATCAATCCTATCTCTCTAAGATTCATTTTCATATTGTCCACCCACCTACGCCTTGGTCTTCCCAGCGGTCTCTTTCCTTCTGGCTTTCCCACCAATATCCTATACGCATTCCTCGTCTCCCCCATTCGTGCTACATGCCCCGCCCACCTCATCCTCCTTGACTTGAATATTCTAATTATACTTGGAGAAGGGTACAAGTTATGAAGCTCCTCATTGTGCAGTTTTGTCCAACTTCCTGTCACTTCATGTCTCTTCGGCTTACTTTAATTAGTTATTAATAAGAAGTTATTTAAGTGTTGCGCGAAACGTGTTCTGTGGGAACACACCTGCAGTTAACTTAAGTTAAGCTCGACAATGCTCAGGCGTTCAGGTCTCCTTAGCACTGAGTGTTTGCCCCGAGTTTCGCTTTAAAGGAGAAACCTGTGGATGGATTGGGAGAGTGGAGTGGACTAAAGGTTTTCTTCTGCAAGAAGACTGCACAGGAGTGACGAGATGAAACCATAAGGAGGCTTCAAGCCTCACTACTTAAATGAGGACAGTTTACCGTGAACACTCTAACAGCTGGATAATTTTAATGTCATATTCGTGTTGTTACTGATCAATGATACGATGATTCTGCTACTGATCGTGTTTCATGATTGTATAGGATAGACAAGAACGGTCTCACAAGCATACAGTAAAAGAGACATATGTTTTGTTTCTGTTTACTTCTATACAACATGTTCCTACCGCATGCGGTCATCATCAGGCGAATGTAGGTAATTATTGGCACCATAAACTATCCATTGTGATAGAGTAGACAAAATTAATTATATGTTTATTATATATTAATGTTTAATAAAATTATATGATTAATACTTAATCATATTTCTCCATGTTATACCTGCAGACGATTTTAATGAGTAACAAAGTAACAAAGCGCTATAGTTGCTTGTAGTTACGTTCTGTAAGAGTTCAATAAATTCAATTTCCAGTCCAAGCCCCCGTCTATAGTCACTCAAAAACGCGATAATATAGAGAACCGTGCTTTTTTGTCTTACTTTCTAAACCCTTTCACTTTGCACACCTCTAAGACTCCACTGTGTCATTTCTCTTATATTATGCTGCAATATAAATTCACCTTTCCTTCCCCAGATTCTGTTTAATAGAAGAACAAAATATAAGTGAAAGGAATATTGAATTAAATTGCTGAATAATGTTATTCCATACTGAATTGTTAACGTAACTGACTGGATTATTCAGTACGAAACTTGATTACAATGATTGAATCGTTATTGAATTCTGAAACTTCACTGAATTAGCAGGACCAGTATTGGGCATGTGGTTTTACCAGAGTTGGCCGTACATATCATGATCTCCTCACTCGTCAACGGTGTAGCTAGCCTTACACATTAACAGCATTAAACTACTGAAAACGTCAGAGCGAGTGAGCTAGTAGACCTCAAAGTTGCACTTAAGTTTCACAGTTGCTGATGAGAGGCGTTAGTGCGACAACTACCGCAAACATACCAGCAAAACTTTGTGACATACCTGTGGTTTTCTTTGTGTGGCAAATGCGTCAAAGACGGGGCATACTCTACCACAAAACCACGCCGTGGAGTTCAAGCGTGGAGCTGGTAACTGCCACCGACACACAGCGAACAAATGCGCCCACTGTGTAGTCATGATTTAAATTAGTAAGGAAAGGTAAATTTGGAAATTACCTCAAGTGAAATGAAAAGTTTAATTGTGTAAGAAGTTTGTCACTTAATGACCGATGAATTTCCTTCTTGTTTGAAATTCTGGGAAGTTCTATACACAGTGATTCACTCGGTTAAGGCCCAGAATTAACTGTTATAAATCACGCAATAACTTGAAAATAATACTTAATAACACAGAATAAATTTTAACGCTTACACTGTGACTGTATGTGCAGTTCGAACCATTTATTCAAGGGCTGCAAACTCTCCTACCATCCTGGCCACAACATTCGCCAACGTGGAGCATCCTATCGGTCTGTGTTTCCAGGTTGGGGGAGACTGATTTTAGCATCTTCTGTAACTCAGTTACCTCAACATCTGTCCAGGTATTTGCTCGCCAAATTTGGTTTTTATGGATAGCTTACTGCGTGATATATAACTATTGTCACTTGTATGAGAGACTATAGACGGAATTGGATTGGTGATTGCATTTATTGAACACCTATAAACATAAATCATAACTAAAAGTAACTATAACAGCCTCATTGGTTTACACATATAAAGTCTTCTATGTCTTCACTAGTCGTTTCCTCTTAACGGATCCTAATAATGTCCTCTGCTAATGTTCTCACCGACTGGCGAATATCCCACAACTGACTCATTGCTCTAACTGTCGACTGTCAGAGCTACTTTACAACTGACGGTTTACCGCCAAGTAGTTCGTCTTGGTGACAAGCCCCTTGAGACTCACGATTAGTACTTTTATTTTCCAACTGAACACTTGCGGTTATAGTCCTTATGTAACTTCCTCTCTGACAAGAGGATAGGTCCATCGTTTACAATTGCAGTTGTGCCTTGCCAGCGCAGTCATTCTCGGGTCAGAGCCCCGCTGTACTCGTGACCCCCCACCTGGAGGGCCAGGTCCCCGTATTTATATCCTCCAGGAACAGGGTATCCCGGTTATAACCCCAGGTACTGGGTTCCATTTTGGTCGCCTCCTACGACTCGCAGGGTAACGGTGTAGGTATTCGACCCCGCCTCCCCACGGGAAACTGTAGACTCTCAACTAACCCTCCTGATTTTGGCTCTCTGTATAGTTCACTAATTTCCTTGGGAACATGTTTGTTTGCGAAGCCGTTACTCATCAACGGCTCTTGTATATTTTCATATGTCTCAGTTGTTGCCTAGCAACGAGTCTACATACTGCATTATTAATTCAGAACCTCATAATGAATCACTCTGTGTAAAACTGATATTTCTAGGATAATTTCCGTTGGAAATTGAAGTTATTATAAACCTTCCCCTTCTGACTTCTTCCTGTTCAGCCCAGTTTTATTTGTCCGTGTTATTGTGTCTCTTCTCCCCTTTCCATCCAGTTTCTCCTTTACAGGTGAACATCGTTGACAACATGCCTTGATGCTCTTCCCACTTCGATTCGTGGTATAATTTTGTGCCGAACTTCATATAGATCACTGTTGCGTTTCACTTCTGTGGAATCGATATAACTACGGACCAACAAATCGACAAACCTGCTTATGCTTTTTACGTAATTAATTCACTCACTCATCACCCACTCATGGAGCTGAACTCTTGTTGAAAGGCTGCCAATTGTGCAGCCACTCAAGAACTTCCCAACATTTTATGTAACCCAAAGATTCATTAACGTGTTCACAAGATGCTTCCACTGGTCCCTATCCTGAGCCAGATCAATCAAATTCACACCATCCCGTCTCTCTAAGATCCATTTTAATATTTTCCACACACCTACGTCTTGGTGTTCCTAGTCGTCTCTTTCCTTCTGGTTTTCCCACCAATATACTATATGCATTCAGTTTCTCCCCATTCGTGCCACATACCCTGCCCATCTCATCCCCCTTTTCTTTTTCTTCCCCCCTTGGCACTGCAGCCCCAGTGGGCCTAGGCCTACCTCCACGAACTTCTTCGTCCACCTTTCGGGTTTTTTCGATATCTTCGACATACGCTAGGACTCCTTGGGTGGGTAATCAGCTCGTCGCAAAGCCTCTACCTGTACACAAACACAGAAAAACGCACACAAACATTCATGCCCAGAGTGGGATTCGAACCCACGATCCCGGCTTCCGAGCGAGCGAAGACAGTGCATGCCTTAGACCGCTCGGCTACCGTGACCGGCTTCTCCCTTTCTTGGTCATTCTAATTATTCTTTGAGAAGGGTACAAGTTATGAATTATATAATTAATTACTGTATCAGATGATAATTGCATTTTAATGTTTCATTCTAGAAATGGGAAAATCTATTACTTGGTTCCAGTATCCAGGAAACATAAATACGGGTATCTAGAAGATTAATTATTTCCTAAAATAATGCAGGAAGGACGAGTGTAGCTCGGAGAAACATATTGCTTCCATCTTCAGGATAGAGTGAGCCAAGCAAGAACCAAGCAAAATTATGCGGCAACCTGAAGGAACTGGACCACATGTAAGATCTGCATTCAGATGGAAGGATATTGTTAATTATATGTTAGAGATTTAGTATCTGAAACAGTGGAGTGGACATGTATGGCTCAGGATAGAGTCTGTTTCCGAATTATTTTGAACACTGTAATGAACCTTTGGGTTCCATAAGGAGGCTGCGTTTTTCTTGGGTAGCTAAGCGACTGTCAGCTTCTAAAGAAGCACTCTTTGGAATAATATTCACCTAGCATCAAAGGCCAGGAATATTGCAGTATAAACATCAGCCCAATTCTGATCTGATAGTTTGTAATTACTCCGCACACAAATGTACAGATTTTCTATTCTGTTTGCCGGGGAGTATTCACTTCATTGCAGGATGAAACGTAGACGTGTTTCTGTGTGATATCAGGTAGTGATATTTAAATTGAAATATTCTTAATTTCTTTTGCAAAGGCATTATTAAACCATACGCAATTAAAGAGAGTGTACAGAAAGGGCGTTTTGTAAATATAGTCTATCTTTTATCCAGTTTACTTTTTTTCCCCCGGGCAATACGTCTGATCCTTTTGAATTTCACCCTTTTTTAATTTGTTGTAATTATTCTAGCAATTTTGGTTGGTAGTATAACGTAAGGTTAACTTATGAATGATATTTAATCACTTTGTTTCAATTGCTTTGCCAGATACGCTTTAGAAATCTCGTGCCACTACATGCAGGTCTGCGTGCCCATGTATTGCTTACTTTGTTTCGTAGAGTCTGCATTTACTTGTCTACATTTATTTGTGGACTATTTATAGAAAGTCTACACGAGCGCACAAAATGCGTCCGTTGTAAAAGTAAACGAGAGAGGCGAATGCTACTCTTTCTTCTGGCTCCATTGCAGACAAAAAACTACGCACCGCATTATGCAACAGTGTGCTGTCCTCAGCAAAGTACGTTCTTTACAACGGACGCATTTTCTCGTGTAGACGCTGCCTTAACTGTTGTATCTGTGCCTCGACCGAATAGCAGGATTGTTATTGAATAATGAAAGCATCTTAAAAGGGTCTGGAAGGAAACGTTCATGGCCAAATTTAAGGAACTGTACTAGAATTATCTTGTAGGGACTGAGGAAAATGATAAAAACAGTCAGGACTCCCGGTCTCCTGACCGAGATTTGAAGCCGGAATCTTTGGAACAGAGGCAGGAGGGCTAACTTTCGAAAGTGAAGTTCAGTGAACCTGTGTATAAGGATTATGCATTTAATTGTATTATTTAAAAAAAAAGAGTCTTTAAATTAAATGCCTCACAAAGTTGAACATTATAACTGATTGGGTGGGGGTGAAAATTTAATGAACACAAAATTAAATTAAATATTTATGCAATATTTAATGTCCTCTCTTGATTGCTCATTCATAATTGCGAATCAACTTTCAAATTTTGATTCTGAACACTATTTTTCTCACCTCACAACAATCAATTCCCCCTTCCCTTTGGCCCTACAGCCCCACTTTGGGCCTTGGCCTACCTCCATGAAACTCCGTTTCACTTCGGTTTACTAGATTTTAGACATTCGGTAGGACTCCTTGGGCGGGTCAACAGCTCGTCGCAAGGCCTCTACCTGTACACAAACACTGAACATCCATGCCCTGAGTGGGATTCGAACCCACAATCCCGGCTCCCGACCGTGCGAATGCAGTACATGCCTTAGACCGCTCTGCTACCGTGACCGGCTCACAACAGGCAGTTACTCGTAGAAAGTAATGTGCGATTCAGTATGAGAATGTTAGACGTACTAGTGTAATTATATTTGGATTGTTCGTTGAGTTATACTTGTCATAGGGGGCGTCACAGTTCAGTCAGTTTCCTTCTTGGGGTTAGAAGTTTCCGTTACCACGCGTTTATCGTCATCATCATTAGTGGAGGGTTCTGTAATTTGCATCCTTCTCATTATGTTTCTAGGGTGATTAAATGCATAGGGAGATGAGAGATTCATGGAAGATTTTGGTCTGGAAGAAGCCACTTGAGAGATCTGCGCACATATAGGAATATCCTAGTAAAGTGTATCTCAGTGAAACAGGAAGTGATATTCTGGAAAGAGCCTAACAGTTTCAGTTCCTTCCGGTTCCATATAAAAAGAGGGAATTTCTTGACCAGCTCAGCATCTGTAAACTTTTAACGAATAACTGGGAGAAGTTAATTAGTATTACTAAAAATCACCTATGCCGGTCACGGTAGCCGAGCGGTCTAAGGCATGCACTGTCTTCGCTCGCTCGGATGCCAGGATCGTGGGTTCTAATCCCTCTTAGGGCATGGATGTTTGTGTGCGTTTTTCTGTGTTTGTGTACAGGTAGAGGCCTTGCGATGAGCTGATCACCCGCCCAAGGAGTCCTACCGTATGTGTAAGATCTAGAAAAACCGAAGTGAACGGAGAAGTTCATGGAGGTAGGCCTAGGCCCACTGGGGCTGTAGTGCCAAGGGGGAAAAAAATCATCTTTGATGAATGCAAGTTTCTATCGCCGGGGATTGGCGTGGATACCTTTAATGATATTATATTTGTGCATCCTGTTGCATTGAAGTGTCTCTTATAGTCTATTTTTTCCGCCTATAATGCAATAAATTAATAACACTGATTAATATTTAATCCATACAGTGATTGGTAAATATATATACATTTCTGCAATGCTACATGTTTCGGCCATATAAGGCCATCTTCAGGCAACATTTTCATAAGGAGTCTAACACTGCGCACTAATCGAATCTCATTCTTTTCATTACGTCATTGGTGTTTCCTTCTTCATGCTTTTTTTTATTGCTTTTGTTTCTCTGCAATGTATAACATGTATTTAGTTAATATAATTCTTATTTAATATCTGGTTATATTGCCTTGTGTATCTAATTGTTGTATTTCTGTACTTACGTATTTCACTGGTGTGTTGTTGTCTTGATTGTGCGTATCATTGTCCCTTTGCGTTTTGTGTATCTTTACTTGTTTACAGAGAACACAAATCAAGACAACACACCAACAAAATACAGAAACAGCCGCAGTTCAAGAAAGACATGAAGTTGAAAACACCAATGACGTAACGAAAACAATTAGATTTGATTAGTGTGTAGTGCATTAGACTGCTTATAAAAATGTTGCCTGAAGATGGCCTCATATGGCCGAAACATATAGCATTGTGATAATGCATATATATTTTAATAGTTTAATAACATTTTATACATTAAATAATTATTGTATGTAAGATTTGAGGCTTTCACGGCGGTGAGTATGAAGAAAGCAGTCTTCTGGGATTTGGNATAAAAATGTTGCCTGAAGATGGCCTCATATGGCCGAAACATATAGCATTGTGATAATGCATATATATTTTAATGTTTTAATAACATTTTATACATTTCACTATTATTGTATGGATTAAATGTGAATCGATGTTATTAATTGTATGCATTAAAGACGGAAAATAGACTATAAGTGGATACCTTTGCAGCACATCTTTCATCTCAGGTGTTAGGATAAAAATTGTCAAAATAAATCCTATATGTTAACATTCTCTATTATATAAGCTTCAAATACAAGACCTGAACGTGGAAGTGGCTCTTCTCATGAGCCCAGAGCACAAAGGAAGCGTTCTTGTTTAGCTCTACCGCATTCAAGAGAGCTGAACTTCTGTCAACCCCGCAAGATGTATCAGACATTGTATATTTATGAACTTGGCAGGGTGTTAACTTTAATGTTGATGTTCCTACGGATCTGATTCATCTTGACACCTCCGGTCCGATAGCCCGAAAAGTGATTTATGCCAGACGTCCACACAATATTCCTTGTTTATTCACCAATTTATTTAACACGTGCTCGTTGACTGTAGTGATTATAAAATGCAGGACGGGTATGACAGTTGGAAAGGATTTGTTATATTCTAAGCCTTCCACATTGAAGGAATTAAGTTGTCCTTATACTTAATTCGGCACCACGCAATGATATTATCACGAGTTTACGGCTCCGTGACTAATAGTAAGGGGTTCTTGATTGGAGGATTGAATGTATTAACGCTTTCTTTTACAATTTCTCTTAATCACAATATATATATATATAGCGCTATCGCTAGTCTACCCACTTCACAGATCACTAGGACACGCTCAATTCTCGTTCTCTGTTGTACTCCGTTGTACTCCTACAACTGCCAGCCTCGGAACGCCTTCTGTGCCATTATATAATTCCTCGGCACATACCCTACGGAAAACACTATTCTTCTGTTGTCCTAGAATGGTGTTTATTGGAACGTTACCTAGCAATTTAGGTCGTTCTATTGTTGAGAGTACAACTCCGGGACTTTTTACCTAGCCGTTGCCTAGCAATAGTCATATGCGTCGTAATATTACGGAGGAGAGATGTACTTCCACACTTTCCTAACTTCGGCACTAGAAGAAACTTCAGTGGTCAGCTTCATGCCCTGTCAACACTACTTCTGGGCAAGGAGTCGCTGTACATTTTGAGTGAGCCCCGTAGCTATTCTGAACGGTGTGAAGGAGATCAAAATAGTAATTGTCCTAATGCTTGTATTATTCGCAATTTTCAAATTTACTTCTTAAGTTTCTCACCAATTAGAATCGATGCCAAACGTCGTCGTTAGTTGCCTCGGTGCAGACTGGTGAAAGGAGATATTTGCTGCTGCGGTAGATGGTTCCTTCATTCTTGAAGTTGTGCGCATGTCGACACAAACGGGACTCTTAATGTTATACAGTGATTCAGTGGGTAGAGGCACTTAATTGATAATTTTAAACACGCAATGATAATTGTCAGTTAAAACGGGACTTGGTGAATACATACCTGGGTAGGTGTGGAAATAATTGGGTTTCAAAAGATGCTGAGATTTTTCTTCGACCTCCTGAAGAAACAGCCCGACACGACAGTCCACTCTCGCGATTGGTGCAGCCAGCGCGGTAAGGGGAATTACAGCAATTTTAGAAATGGAGCAAACTGGTCAGGCAATCACCGGGTTAATATTACAAAGTTTTCTGCATTGCCAATTTTATTTTTTTTCTCGTCGGTAAATGCTCGCATGCCGGTCACGGTAGCCGAGCGGTCTAAGGCATGCACTGTCTTCGCTCGCTCGGAAGCCGAGATCGTGGGTTCGAATCCCACTCAGGGCATGGATGTTTGTGTGCGCTTTTCTGTGTTTGTGTACCGGTAGAGGCCTTGCGACGACGAGCTTATCACCCGCCCAAGGAGTCCTACCGTATGTGTATGATCTAGAAAAACCGAAGTGAACGGAGTTCATGGAGGTAGGACTAGGCCCACTGGGGCTGTAGTGCCAAGGAAAAAAAAAGAAGAAGAAAAATGCTCGCGTGATTTATATTTTCAGGGCAAAAATAATTATTACAGGAAAACAACGTAAACAGAATATAAAATACAAACTTATGTCCTTCAAAGCAACCGTACTTTACGATATTTGGCACAGAAACACGATGAAATAACAGAAGTGTATTTCACACAGTAAATTATGATTTCGGGAAATATTGAATTACTTTTGAATCCAGATAAGAGTATAAACAAAACGTATACTCTCCGATGACAGCGGAAACCCCAACCAGCGTCACAGTTATCACCAGTTGGTTCACCAATCCCGACCTATACGAGATCTTGTCGATGGTTTAATTTAATTTTTGTTCTATAGTTTTTTTAGCTCACACAGAACATTTATCAAGTTAAGACCGGCAACGCTACAAAAACCGTTGCTACGTAACATGAAATATAAGCCCCAACATTATAGCCTGAATAGGATTTACAACTGAATTTGGAACATTTTGACGAAGTAGGAAACGTACTAACGTCTAGGACGTGACTCCGTGTAGTCTGGTAGAGGTTTATCGGAGGAACATAATATAGTGTTTTCACATGATAGAGTGTGACTACAGACGGGGTTTGGATTTGTAATCTTATTTATTGAACTCTTACAGATCGTGCCCACAAGTAACTATAGCTCTGTCGCTCATTCACGCACAGTTCACTAGAGGAGAGCCTGCCGTGTCTTCACCAGTCGTTGTTTGGTAACGGCTTCCAACGGCTGACATTTCCGCTTCCTCTGGGTTCCCGAACTGTTCCCTTGCATCAGCTACCGGCTTCTCACAGCAACAGCTCACAGCAGTCATGCAACTAAATCACTCACACACCAACCAACTCACTCCACTCCACTAGCTAAGTGCAGACTGCCTGCTAAATTGCTACTGGTCCTCGCCAGCACAGAGATCCTTTGTTCCGAGTTCCACGGGACTTACAACGGTATTTTACTCTGACGGTTTTGGGAGCCTTCAGGCCACTGCGACTGTAGCTCCCAACTTGTCTCGCTTATAACCTCTCGGCACGGATAGTGCAGAAAACTCAGTTCTTCTACTGTTGTTTGAGGACCGCTGCCTAGCGACGGCTGCTGTACAGTTTCCTATCTCGCGGTTTTCCGTCTAGCAAGGGGTGTACATGCCACAGTATTTTTATATTCACAAAATCTCATTTAGTGAAATAAGCTTATAATACTAAAAATATATTTCCGACTGTCCAGTGTTTATATATCTATTAAGACAGCCCTGCGCGATAACAGGCGGATATTTGTATCTGTAAAGAAAGAACAGAAGTCAAATGAGGCATGCATAATCGTCTAAAGGCGCGTCCACATTACTTGTGCTCGTGCTCGTGCGCGCGAGTAATGTGGATGATATGACAAGTCACGAGACATGCAAATTTTAAATTTTTAATTTAAAAACTATAGCCAATAAATTAAAATACGACTACAGCCTATACACACTACGAGTAAATATACGGATCCTCACGCGCCG